ACATGAAGGAAAGTTGTTGCTATCACTAAAAAGTCCTTTTCAGCATCCTGATTACATTTTCCATCATACACATCTTCAATATTATCCTTGTTTATCTTAACTCGAGTCCTCTTGTACTGGATATCTTCACGAAAACCTGGTCTCTGGTACAATTTTTTAATTTGTGGTTCCAATGAAAATTGAATGAAGTAATGAACAGTTTTTTTGTCACCCGCACAGGTGTCACACAAATCTGAACTAGAAGCCCTACTTTTTAGGCACATACTGCAAAAGTGAAAAATGTTGGGTGGGTCATTATGGGTTCCCAAGAAATCAAATAGTTCGTGGCTTGATTTAAAGAAACTATTTTTTTCGGGCAAATGTAAGGCTATTAATGATAGCAATCTGCCAGTGCCTGCACCACTCAAATGTTCAGACTGAATAAATGAAATAATCGCCAACATACTCTCCATGCGGTTAATGTTGGCGCCTTCATACAAAATACTGTCATTTTGGATAGCACTTGAAACTTCTGAAGTGGAGATCCTTTCATCAATTTCTGCCACTGGTTCAGTTAAAATATCTGGTAGGTCAGGAAACATCGGAGTGGTTTCCTCATCAGAAGAAATTGGGTCATGAATCCATGATCTGGAGGGGAGAAATAGGCAATAAGACAACTTCAAGTACTACACTAATTTTTGCCAGCAGCAAGCAGAAAAAAACATACCCTTCAGGTCAAAAGCTGGGTCTAATGGTTTCAATGGCTCAACCAAAGTAGTGGTAAAAATTTCTAAAAATTAACAAGAAAAAACGTAAGTAACATAGATAAATAGATATGGATAACCAATAACAGGAAAAGTAGCGATTTACATCGGCAACTTTGGCCCGTCCCGTTCATCAGGGAATGTGTGAATTTCGGCTATGTTTAACCCTGACGGGATTTGAACCTGAGTCTGGGGTCAAAATAAATGTTATTTTCGTCATCAGCGCCCTCAAAAACATCAGAAACAATGCAAAAATTTGAATAAAAAGAATGTCTATAATATACCCTACTTGGATTTGAACAAGGGTCCAAACTTCTCCGATTCGCTTGAAACTGGCACCGTTGATTTTGTTTCGTCGCCCCGAT